GACCTGGGTCAGAGGAAAGAGACAGCAGGTGACTGGGTCAGTGCGGGGCAGGCATATCAAGGGAACACCCAGCAAGGGGACTAGGCAGTTGGCAAGGGATGGAGAAAGCCAGGAGTGGGGGATGGAAGGGGGATACATAAGATGACAGTGAGGGTTTGGTTAGTTGTCCTTTTCTTCATTTATTCAATCACAGATATTCGCATGCCCACTGTGTGCCGGGACAAGGCACACAGTGGGCTCCAAGACCTGCCCCAAGGAGCCTAGCTAGAAGAACAAACATGCAAAAGGAGACTATCCCACTGATCTGATAGGGGAAGCACGGGGGGCTGTGGAAGCTCAGAGGAGGCACTCAACCAAGCCTGGACAGGGAGGAAGGACGCAAGGCCCGCTGATCACATCTCTGTCTCTGTTACCAGGTGGGATGGGGTTGCAGCAGGTGGAGGGGGGGGCCTACTTTCTCTGAGTCCAGTCCAGTGAGCTGATCGTGGCAGCGCTGTGTGAAGACAATGGTGAAGACGGCGTGGGAACGGCTGCTGGTCTCATTCATGTTGGTGGCGGCCACAGTCCTGGGGGGAAGGGAATGGTCAGTGGGTCCGGCCCCTCATCTTCCTAACCCCGTCTCCCTTGCCCTCCGCCCCATCAGCCTGCCTCACCGTGCTTTATTTCCACAGTCCATGAGGTCAGCAATGTCTGCATAAGAGGTCACAGCCAATTTAGACAGGTCCTGCACGTAGGGGCCCAGGATGGGGTGCTCTCGGACCCTCAGAGAGCCCCGACTCTTGGGGTTCAAGAGGTCTCGTACCCTCTCACAGTAGATCTCCATGTAGCTCACCTGAGTGGGAGAAGCAAATAAAAAGTAATAAAGGTGGGCTTCCCTGGTGGCGCAGTGGTTAAGAATCCGCCTGCCAATGCAGGGGACACGGGTTCGAGCCCTGGTCCAGGAAGATCCCCCATGCCGCAGAGCAACTAAGCCCGTGTGCCACAACTACTGAGCCTGCGCTCTGGAGCCCATGAGCCACAACTACTGAAGCCCGCGTGCCTAGAGCCCGAGCTCCTCAACAAGAGAAGCCACTGCAACGAGAAGCCTGTGCACCGCAATGAAGAATAGCTCCCGCTCGATGCAACTAGAAAAAGCCGCGCGCAGCAACAAAGACCCAATGCAGCCAAAGATAAATAATAAATAAATAAATTTTTTTAAAAAGTATAAAAGCTAACAACCATACCCAATGGGAAACTTAACCTGAACTCCACTGGATACAATACAGGTAACCTACACTGAGTGTTTACTATGTGTTGCTAAGCATTTTACATGTGCAAGCTTACTGAGCTTTCCAACAACCCTAGAAGGGGACCCCTGATCATTATCATTTCAGATAAACACGCTCAGGAGCCGAGAGAGAAGTCATTTGCCCAAAGCCACAGTTACTAACTGGTAAAGCCTAGAGCAGATCCCAGGCTGCCTGACTCCAGAGACTGCACTTGGTCTTAATCGCTGTGCTCACCTCCTCCCCACCCAGGGGACACTGTGGCTCCCCTCCCAGCCTCCTCCCAAGACCTGGGCTTACCTCCACAGAATAGGATAGCTGAGCGCTCTGGTTCTTACTAACACGAGAGAAGAGGTCCTCACAGAGCTGGAGGGGGACACAGAGAAGCACAAAGATGCTGCTGTTCATGGCACACCTGTGGCGCCCAGCACCCAGGCCAGGCCAGGTCTCAAGTGACCCTGTTTAACCCTTACCACAGCCCCAAGGGAGGGATGGGATCGTTCCCATTTTACAGATGGGAAAGCAACCTCTGAGAGGTTCACACTTGCCCAGGGTCACAGGCTAGTATTCAGTGAGCCAAAATGCAAGCCCAGAGCCTGTATGCAAGGTCACTAGGCTGCAGTCAGAGAGATTATGGTCAACTCTCAGTTATCCACAACTAGCTTTTCCTACAGTAAACACCTTGACTACGGTACACAAGCCTACATGGGAACTGCACTCACAAGTAATTACGAGACAAGGTAAGACAGCAGCAAGTGGTAGAAACGAGGTTCAAACCCTGGGCGCTCTGCCGCCAAAGGTGTGGCTGTTCTCACTAAGCCTTCACGGCCCTGATGTCCAGGTTGGAGCCAACCTCATCTCCCATCACCTTCCCTATTACTAACAACCTCAGAGAGCCAGGTCTCTGCTTCACAATGCTTAGAACCCAGCCTAGGGGCAGCTGAAGATGCTTCAGCCCTGGCCGCCCTGACAGGCCCCGAGTGTACCTGGGGCACGATGCCCTGCTGCCCTGGCTCCTGCCGCCCCATCATGGTGTAGGATTTCCCAGCCCCCGTCTGCCCATAGGCAAAGATGCACACGTTGTAGCCTTCAAAGGCATGGAGCAGCATCTCTTCTCCAATATCCCGATACACCTGTTGCTGAGATGCAAACTGGGGGTCCTCGGCCTAGGTAAAAGGGGGGCAAGAAAGACAGCAGGAACCCTAGATGACTGTGTCCTTGGTATCTAGGTGCCCAAAGGTCTTGTGTGCCCCCACCCCGATCACGGTCCTAATCATCCCTGAGGATCCTATCTAGTCTCCTGCCAGCCCTAAATTATCCCAGGGATTCTGCCTCCCCCTTCCTGGTCCTAGTCACAAGTTCAGGGTCCTACCCACCCCCACCCAAGGGTCCTGGTCCTCCCAACCAGTTCCCTGGAGGTCCTATTTCCCAGCAATGCTCCCTCCCCAGGACCTGAATCCCCCGTCCCTCTTTGCTTAGCTCTTCCCCCAACCTAACAACCTCACCGAAGTGTGTGACCAGTAGGAGTAATCGAAAGTGAAGCTTTTGGGGGCATCCTTGCTCTGTCTGGGATTGGTGATGGCTGAGAAAGCAAAGGAACGAAGGCCAAGGTCAGGTACTCCCGACCGCTGCCCACTCCCCACAAGCCCTCAGAAGCCGGGCATCCCACTCCCCACCTCTATCCTAGTTCATCTCTCCCCTTTAATACTCCCCACCCCCTCCAGCCACCAAAGCTAATTTTGGCTTCCCAGGACCCGCCCCCCTCCCGGCTGCCTCCCTGGATTGGGCAATGGAGGGCTCCAGGCCAACATTCCCCCTCCCAGGGACTGGGAGCACGGAAAGGCCAGCCTGCCCCAGCCTCCTTCCTTACAATTAGCACCTGCTCCGTGCCCAGCACAGCCCTCCTCCTGGTTCGGCCCGCCAGGACTGGCCCGTACAGTGGGCCCGGGCTGCCCTGCCTGTGCCCAGATGGGCCCCTGGGACTCACTCACAGGTGGTGCTGCCCTGCATGCTGACCACACACTTGGCATCCTGGCTGGTCTCACGGGCGTTGAAGGGCCGAACCCTCACTGCCACTTTCACCGAGGCGCCAGCCATGGCTCCAGATACTCCCACCCTCCTCAGCTGGAGGACAGAGATAGAAGAGGAGGTCAGAGCTGTTGGGAGGCAATGCCTGGGGGACCCAGACATTGCCTCCCAACTACTCCCAGGAACCAGTCTCTCCACACCCCCTTACCCGGCTACCCAGCCCCTCAAGGACCCAGTTTCTGTTCCTTGGCCTTCCTCCCCAATGGCACTCTCCTCAGGGACTCCAGGAGGTGTTCCTGCCTCTCTCCCCAGCCTTTTCCCAGCAGGCAGGGACCTGGGATGTCACCCCAGAGTTACCTGGTGTCCTGGCCCCAGACCAGGGGGGCTGTATCAGTTCTGGCTGCCACCGGCCCTCGTAGGAGGAGCCCCATCCTACACTGGGGGCCTGGCCACGCCAGCTGGGGCTGTAGGGGAAACCCTGGTTGCGGGGGAAGAGTGGTTAGGAGGCACCCGTGGCTCCAGAGGTGTGTCTGGGGTCCCAGGGTTGGAGGACAAGGGGTGGGGGGTAATGTTAGGAAAGGTGAAGATGGCTGTTCCTCTGGAGTGGTCGAATGCAATGTGAATCCAAGGGCAGGGACAGTGATATTTTTATTCCTCGTCACTCACAAGTGCACTGAACGTTCAGAGAGAGAAGAGAGAAAGAGGCTGGACAGAGAGCAATTCAGAGAGAGGGACACATGGGCAGAGACATTGAGGGTGGTGGGAAGCGGGGAGAGGAGAGGCAGAAAATCCCAAACACCAAAAAAATGAGAGAGACAAGAAGACTGAGGTCATGCTACAAAGGAAATAACGGAAGAAAAGTAAGGGGACACACAGAGGACAGCAAACACAGAAATGTTAAACAGGTAGGGGAAAAGCACAAATTGGAAGCCCAGAAGAGAAACAAGATGCGAGAAAATCCCAAATATAAGACCTGCCCTAAAATTCCCCCACAGGGTCAGCCAGGGAGAAGCAGAAACCAGCTCCCACCTAGGGTCCATAACCTCCACACAGAGGGAGAGACTGCAGATGGGCAAAATCCAATGGCTGGAAGTACAGCCCAGAACTGGGATCCACAGGGCCTGCCTATAAGCCCCAAATCCCTTGACCAGCTCCCAGCACTTCCTCCTTAGGATCCAGGACAATGGGCAGGAGAGGGTGGGGTCATCCTGTAACCATCCTACCAACCACCAGGGTCCTTTGCTGGAGGATCCAGAATACCTGTGTTTATGGGAAGGGAGGATAGCAGTAGGGTTCCCCTGAAGAGGGAGAGAAGGGAAAGGAAGCAGGCAGGTCCCAGCTCCAGCCTGGGGCTAGTGCTATGGCATCCACTGCCCTGGGGAAAGTGCCAGTCTGGAGCCCAGGAATGCGGGTGATCCGGTGCCCACACCCTGGGAGGAGAGGCTGAGCAGCCCACACCCACGGACAACAGGGTGGGAGGGTTGTGAAGAGACATCAGAGATGTTGAGCCCCCTTCTGTGGCCCCAAAGGGCCTCAAACCCCTGTCCTGCTGGGCCTGACCTCACCAGCCTTTCTGGCCAGGGCATGGGAGGGGTGAGAGGGCTGGTCTGTCCCAGGACAGGAAGGGAGTAGCTGAAACCACAGAGACTGTCTCAGGAAGAACAGCCCTGACCCCCAGACCCTGATCAGGGGAGGGAAAGGACACTGATGGAGACACGCAATTGTAACGCCGTTGTGGCTAACGGGGCAGGGAATGAGGTGGCACTGCTGGTGGATGGCGGGGTAATGGACCAGGAGAGAGGTACAGGGGTCGGCTGGTGCAGCGTAATGGGTCAGTGGGGTACAGAGAGTAGCCGCGGCTGGGGTGAGGCCGAGCGACCCGAAAGGGGGCCTAGGGCCACCTGCACCTTGCTCACCCAGAAGTTTTCACACAGGCCCCCGTCCCGGCCTTTCTGGGCGGCCATGCGGACAGTGTCCTCCGGTCCAGCCAACCGACGGCCGCCCCGGGCCTGGCACCTCTCTGCGCCTCCGCGGGACAAATAGCACATGATCCCGGCTCCCGCGGCCAGCCGGCCCCCGCCGGGTGGTGCAAACCGGGACCCCGGCTCCCCGCCCCCCAGCCCGGCACATTCCTCCGCGGGCGTCCCCTCCCTCACCCCCCCTCTCCCACAGCTCTCACCTCGTCGCGGCGGGGCTCCCGGAATGGCAGGGCAGAGTGCAAAGGGACAGACTTTCCGTGAAGCGTGAGACGGGAGCGGGGGCAATCCGGGACCGCTTCGGGGCTGCCCCCGCCCCTCGCCGGGTCCCCGGGCGGCGGGCGGCGGACTCGCGCCCCGGGGGCGGCAGCAGTAGCGGCGCCAGCGGCCGGCGCCCGCCCGGGCAGCACGAGCTGGGGCGGGAGCGAGGGGCGGGGGACCGGCGGGCGCGCGCGCGCGGTTGGGCGGGCGGGCGCGCGCCGTCCCGAGAAGGGTTAGGCAGCGACCCGGACAGCTGTTAAAGGGGCAATGTCCCCAGGACTGCGGGGCCCACCGGGCGGAGACGGGGAAACCGAGCTGCCGACACGGGAGGGCGAGCAGAACGCAGGCACTCGGGAGGGTGGCTAGCGCCTAGAAAGCCGGGAAGAGTTGAGGCCGACCCCGGCAGGAGACCCAGGACCCGGACCCGCGCACGTCGCCGCCATCGGAGGCGCGCTTAGGGGGCGGACCCGCGCGCAGAGCCCCGCCCAGGAGGTGGCTCGGCGCAGGCCCCGCCCCAGGCGCGCGGCGCCGGCCGGCTCCGCCCTCGGCTGCCGACGCTGCCTCGCTTCTCCTCCGCGCCCGGCGTATAGTTCTAGAACTCGCCGCGCAGCTGCCTCAGGTACCGTGGCCAAATGTAGTCGGCGGCGGCACGGCCACCGGGGCGCTGGGTCCCTGCCTGGCCCTCACGTTCGACAGGCCCCGCAGGCCCGGGTCGTCCCCTCAGACTTGGGTGCCTTCTCAGGCCCAGGCCACCCCTGCCTACCCAGCCTGGCCCCCCGCGGGCCTCAGGCAGTCCTTCAGGCGCGGGCCCACCACCTGGGGGCCACATCGACTCCTCAGGCCCCCAATTGTGCCTTCAGGTTTAGCTGTTCCCCACGCCCCAGTCTACCTACCAAGGGTCCCCTGAGGCCCAGCTGCCTCGTCAGGCTCAGGTTGCCCTCCCAGCCTAGGCTGCCCCCGGGCCAACTGTCCAGTTCTCCGTCTAGCTTCCTTAGGCCCATTCTCCTCATAGATCTGGGTCACCCACCTAGACCCACTTACCTGAGGTCTGAATGCCCCTCAGCTTCCACCTGCCGTCTAGTCCAGCTTCCCCTGCTCTGGCCCAAGACATCCAATCTAGACCCCATCTGCCCTTTCAGCCAGATTTTAACTACGGCATTTGCCACCTCAGCTCTAAATACTCCTCTCCCCATTCTTCACTTCGCCTAACTCCTTTCTCAGCCCATCCTTAGTTGCTTTTGGATAAATACTTATTCACCTGGAACAGTTTCCAGTTTTCTGACATTTATGCTGCCTACAGTCACTCTCTTGACTCATCTAACATTCTTACCTGCCTTTTCTGCCAACCCCCCACTGGCTGTCAGGTCACCTTTGGCTGTCCCAAATCCTGGCTCTGTATAACTGACCTCTCTGCTCACCTTCTTCACCTATACACATTCCCAACTGCCTCCTCTTTCCTTGTCACCAACTGACCACTCTGTCCACACTTACCTTTTTTTTTTTTTTTTTTTTTTTTTTGCGGTTACGCGGGCCTCTCACTGTTGTGGCCTCTCCCGTTGTGGAGCACAGGCTCCGGACGCGCAGGCTCAGCGGCCATGGCGCACGGGCCCAGCCGCTCCGCGGCATGGGGGATCTTCCCGGACCGGGGCACGAACCCGTGTCCCCCGCATCGGCAGGCGGACTCTCAACCACTGCGCCACCAGGGAAGCCCCACACTTACCTTTTATTAACCCCTCATACCTGGTTTATTTACCAACCCTGGATTCTCTGACCCCAGCCACCAGTTCAGTACCAACTATCCCCAAATGCCTCTGCCCTATCTAGTCCACCTGTCACCCTTTTTCGTTTCATTATCCCATGTTGCCAGTTAATTCACTCCACTGCCATCTGTAAATTTCACTTACTCTGTATGTTTGGCTTCAGAACATTTATTTTTCTCTTTTCTCTTTTACCACATCCACATTTCCTGTGTCTGCCATCTTGAACTTGTATGTTCAGCTAATAGAAATGTTCGTTACTTGAAATACCTTTTCAGCTCTCTTTCTTTTTTTCTGGCCCCATACATCTTCTTTCCAATCTCTAGACCTGCTACAGGTTCATTCCTACAGCCATTACATGAGTGAATGATTCATTTTCCATTATCCCCCCAGCACCAATGAGGAGACTCAGTCCAGCCACCCAGCCCAGTCCAGTCATGCAAGCGCAGGAAGATGGAGACAACCTTATCCCTTTTGTCAAGTGAGTCCTCCCCACCCAGTGGGGAGGAGGGAAGATTGCATGCCTGGGTTCTTCCCTAAGAGGAGTAGGAAATAAGGAACAAGAAGCTCAGTGCCTGGTCTCAGGGGATTGGTGATTTATTAATTTATTCAGCAAATTGCTTTTGAACACTACAACGTTCTAGGCACTGTATATTAAGCATTGAGAATTCAGCAATTAGAACATAGGGGTCCTGCTCATAGAGCTTACATTCTAGGGGGAGGAGATAGAAAGTGCATACAAATAAATGTAATCTCAAATAGTAATAAGTACACGAGAAAAATAAAATAGACATACAACATAATGTAAAACAGACTGTCTTGGAGACACAAGTTTATATAGGGTGATTGTGGAAGAGGAGGAGGAAGTGAGTTTGAATTGAGATCTGAAAAATGAGAAGGAGCCAGTCTGATAAGAACCAGGGAGCAAAAGAAGGAATAGTATGTTTAAAAAAAAAGCCCAAGAAAGAAACTAGCTTGCTGCCTTCTAGGACCAGGAAGCAGGTTAGCGTAACTGAAACTTAGTGATTAAGGGAAAAGTGGAGTAAAGTCAGACAGGCAGAGGCCAGATCATATAGGATCTATAGGATCTTATAGGCCATTGAAAAGAGTTTGAATTTTATTCTAAGGACAGTAGAAAGGTTCTAAGTAAGGTAATGACATAAGCAGACCTTTTTTTTTCTTCAACTTTTTTATTATGGAAAATTTCAAACAACTGCAGAAGTAGAGAAAATAGTAATCATGAACCTGGAGTATCCTTTTTAGTCAGCTGCAGTAATTATCATTACATAGATAATCTTTTTATTGATACACCCATTCAGCCTCCTGCTACTCAGACTATATTGAAGCAAATCTTAAACCATATATCATTTCACATAAGCATTTTTAAAAGATTCTTCTTGGGACTTTCCTGGTGCTGCAGTGGGTAAGACTCCGTGCTCCCAATGCAGGGGGCCCGGTTTCGATCCCTGGTGGGGGAACTAGATGCTGAATGCATGCCGCAACTAAAGATCCCACATGCTGCAACTAAGATCTTGTGCAGCCAATATAAGTAAATTTAAAAGAAAAGATTATTCTGTGCAGAATAGATTATTGAGGGATTCAGATGGAAGCAGGGAATGGAGGAGGAGGCTATCTCTGTAGTCCAGAGAGGGGAAGATAAGCTGGAATATGATGGTGGGAATGGAAATAGTGAGTAGTAGTCAAATTTGAGTGTATTTTATGGGGGAATTCCTGGGCAGTCCAGTGGTTAGGACTCCGTGCTTTCACTGCCAAGGGCCTGGGTTTGATCCCTGGTTGGGGAACTGAGATCCCACAAACCGTGTGGAGCAGCCAAAAGAAAAGATGATTTTTTTTCTTTTTTTTTTTTAGTGTATTTTAGATGTCACACTCACAGAACTTGCTGATAGATTGGATATGGGAGGTGAGGGAAGTAAGGCATATCAGATTTTTGGCTCTAGCAACTGGGCATTTGGGGTGCTTTTCAGCGAGATGGTGAAGGCTAGGGAAGAGATGTTGAGTGGGCAGTTGAACCTGCAAGTCTGGAGTCCAGGGAAGAGCCAGAGCAAGAAAGGCAGATTTGGGAGTCGTCAGCACATTGGTGGTTTAAAATCATGGCCTGAAACAACAAGGTCCTACTGTGTAGCACAGAGAACTATATTCAATATCCTGTGATAAACCATAATGGAAAAGAATATTTTAAAAAGAGAATGTGTATAACTGAGTCACTTTGCTGCACAGCAGAGATTGGCATAGCATTGTAAATCAATTATACTTCAATTAAAAAAGATGATAATAGGGCTTCCCTGGTGGCGCAGTGGTTGAGAGTCCGCTTGCCGATGCAGGGGACGCAGGTTCATGCCCCTGTCTGGGAAGATCCCACATGCTGCGGCGCGGCTGGGCCTGTGAGCCATGACCACTGAGCCTGCGCGTCTGGAGCCTGTTCTCCACAACGGGAGAGGCCACAACAGTGAGAGGCCCTCGTACCGCAAAAAAAAAAAAAAAAAAAAAAAAAAAAAAAAAAAGTTACATATTTTGGTAGACTGTAGAACTTAATCAGATCTGGAGGAAACAATATTGGGGCATAAATATAAATTTTTCATGGGCATATACTATTTCTGTGTGACTATGATGACTATAAAGTAGGAGGTAGATGTCAAACTCACTCTGCTCCTATCATAAAAGTGAAGTAAAAGGCAGTCTTTCCCCCCGATAAGATGTATTACTTTCCATTAGTCCCCATTTTGTAGCACTCCCTTATGAAAATCCTGTAGTAAAGAGTAAGGAAGGCTTCTCATTAGTCATATGTCTGATCTTTTACTCCTTCTGGTAAAAGGCTGGTCTAGTCTAATCTAACCAAAACCAGGTAAAGGTATTAAGTGCAACAGAGCTGATGCCCGGCTACTTGCTACCAATCCACAGGTTATATACCCTTTGGCCCCAGTGAGTCTGGGCTCAACTAAAGCCAAGAGACCAAAGTATTTGACTACTCAAGTCCCTGTTAAACCAACAAACTCATTTCTAAACCTAAGGTATCAATATTATCCGAGGAAAGCTTTTAACGATTCAGAAGAGATATGGAGCCCAATCCAAAGAGTCAAATTCTGTAGATCTGGAAGCTAAAAAAAAAAAAAAAAAAAAAAGATAATAAATAAAGTCTTGGCCTGGGTGAGATCACCTAAGGAGGAATGGAGATAAAGAAGATAAAGTGCTGAGGACGAAGCCCTTAGGACACTCTTCTAGAGAGCAGGAGAGCAGACATCAGTCAGTCTGGGGGCTTTAGGAGTGAGGAGAATTGTTCTCAAACAGCTTTGCACACCCCTCCCTACCTAAAGGATATTAGTATTTCTGAGATGGGGAGATAAAGCAGGGGTGAACAGAGGCCCTGCTCTCCTGGATACTTGCACTGACTAAAAGGAACCTGTCGTATCACTTGAGTAGTCGGGGCCTTTGTCTTTGACAGCCCTGTTTGCTCAATATTATGTTCCCTGGTTGTGAGGTGTACTCGTTTGAGATTCAGTGAGATCTGAAGCTGAAACAGTTGCTAATCTCCATGCTCACTCCAGCTCCAATCTCCTTTCAAATCAAAGGCCTCACCACCTTCCTCAGCTAAAATGGATAAGGGAGGACAAGGCCTGAGGGAGCCTGGGCAGCTGTATGGTCCCATAGTAAGATAAGACTCCTAAATTCCTGGAGTGAGTAGATGTTGTAAGGGAAGAGCCAGACCTGAGCCTACCTTGTCCTCACCTCAGGTGTTCCAGGGTGGTCAGCCGATCTCCACCACCCAGCTTGCCTTCCCGGAGCCTCAGACTGACGCCCCAGCGCTATGGCGACACCTTCTGGGAGAACCTTAGTCAAAGGCCCAGGTGGGTAGAAATGGAGAAAATGGGGATTAACTGGAGGTAGGGAGGGGAAGCTCTACAATTTTAAACTACCATAAAGCCTTATGGTAGCAATAAGCTTTAGTCTGGGAATAATTGCCCCACCAGCTGATGGACATTTTAGCTCCTAATGCCAAATAGGTGGTTGGGAGAGGTTGTTAGAGAAACAGTATGGATGGGGGTGTTCTCTCTGTACTTAGCCCCCTTTTTGTGCTTCACAGCCCCACCTGGATAGAGGAACAGTACATCCCACCCCTGCTGGTATGACAAACTTTCTGCCCTTTGACACCTCTCGGTTAAAGTTGCACCCACTGCTATCCTAGCCCCAGCTCTCCTTATTACCCCTTCCCTCTGGTGTCCCCCAGCCAGTGCACTGACCAGGCCCTCCTTCCTATGAATCAGTCATCAGGTTTTCCAGATCACAGCTATGTTTTTGTGATCTGGGCGTCCCAAGACCCCTGACTCCCTATTTCAGTCCCAGATCCCCTGAGAGACTCAGTTCTGCCTTCTAGCTCCTTTTCCCCATTCTCTGGCACAGAGAGCCACTGGTTGCTCCCAGTCTGGCCTGTACCCCCCTGAGGGGCTCCCACCCCCTGAGGTGCTCTGCAGAAGAAAGAGAAGGAGGCCATATTTGGCAGGAATGCAGCAGGGATCTGGGGGCATCCCAGCCCGGGTAAGGGCTGTCGCTTATCACCTGGAGGATCTAAGGAGGCGACACAGAATCATCAATGAGTAAGGAGAGACATTTGGGCTCTGGGAGCCAAACAGGGTATGGGGACAGGACGTTTTGAACTAAAGAAGAGGTGGAGAGCTTTGAAGGAATTGGAGGTTGTTTGGGAATGTGCCACGGTCTTGGTGAGACTGAAGCAAAATTTCTATAATATGGGAAGGAGGAGGGAACTAAGGGATGGGGGATGAGCCACACGAGCCGAAAGAAGTGGAAACCAGGTCACTGAAGACATGAAAGCACTCCATACAACTGGAGGATAGTGCAGAGCTAGAGGTCACCTCTTGAGCCCCTGAACTGAAAATACTTCAGTCTGAGGGGAGCAGAAAGTTGGGAGTGGAGAGTTGGAAGTCAGATGACAACACTCCTGGGTCCCAGCAGGAAGTATTTCAGGGCAGAAAGGTGAAGAATGGAGAGACAGGAAGCCTGGCCTCCAGGCACCTCTTTCCTAAGTCTGAAGTCTCCACAGACTGAAGAAGGCCCAGTGGGGCAGCTCTAGGGCTCCGTCTGAGCCCCTGGTGCTTGACGACGATGGCTGTGGACTCCCCAACACCACCGAACACCCTGGTCTGGAAGAGGAGAGGGCAAACTCTCCACGGGAAGAGGAGCACTTCCTCACTCCTGGCAGGGCCCAGGTATGGTTGAACAGGAACTTGGTGGGGCGGTGGAGGGTGATGTGGATGCCTGGTCTTGCATGGAGAGACAGCGGGAGCCAAGAGGCACGTTGGATAGCTGGATTTGAGAGGCACAAAAATAAAGTAGACGAGAGCCAGAGACTTGGGAGTGCCTGGGTTTGGGGACTAGGAAATCTGGAGAGAGACTTAATTTCTGATTCTTCCTTTTTTTCCCTTCAATTTCTCATCCTTACAGCTGCTTTGGTCTCCCTGGAGTCCCCTGGGCCAGGAGGGGTCTTGTCTCTCCGGGCGGCCGAGCTCTCTGGGCTCCTTCAGCACTGTCACAGCCAGTAGGGACCCCCTTTACAATCCCTGGGGGGTGGAGTGGCGGTCTGAGGAGTAAGGAGAAACCACCCACGCCCAAGATGCTAGCGTGCTCCAGGGCCCACGACTAGTTCTGGGCGCTGGAATCTCCAGCATTTCTGACATCAAGGCATTCCCCCTTTCCCTGACCTTTCTCACTTTCCTCTCCCATCCTCTGAACTAGGCACGAACGGGGCTCCCTTGGCCTCCCATCTCTACCCGCCCGTCTCACAGGAGCTCCCCAAGGCCTGTCGTCCCACAGGCCGGCTCCCTGCCACTGTGTTCTCTTCTTGTTCTGTTATTAAAAAGCAAGCATGTTGAGCCCGGTGTTGTCTTTCTCTCCGCGAAGTAGTGATGGAGAGGCTTGTGGGGCGGGAGGGCTCCTTTCACCTTCGTGAGGACCCCGCTAAAATGAAGTCGGGCTGTGTCCCCCAAATTCAAGGAGCTGTGCCCGAAAAAAGTCCTGCCGGCTCCAGAGTCCCCCGCCCAGCGCTGCCGGCCGCCCGCGCCCCACTACCCCGGCCGAGGTCACGTCGATCGGCCCAGCTTCCGCCTCCGGGACCCCGCCTCCTGCCCCTCAGCGCTGCTGCCCCTTCCGGGACTTCCCGGCAGTCCGTCGCTCCGCCTGGCTCGGGGCCCTGGAAGCCGAGTCCCTCCAGCGCCCCACCCAGAGCCCCACGTGTGCTGACCCCAGGTTCTCGTCCCGACCCGCATCCCCTTAATTGGGAGGCCCCGCCCCGTGCGCAGTGACGTCGGACGCCGCTGTCAGCAAGCGCTGGGGGGGGGGTCGGTGTGGGGTAGAATGGCCGCTGCCGCCGTCACCCGCGGGACCCCGGGAGGTAAGAGCCGGGGCCTCTCGCCCGCCTCTCCGCCCCCGCGCCAGGGGGCGCAGCTCCACCGGCCCGGGCGTTGCGCGCCGCGCCGGGGACCACCGGCCCTCTCCCGGTTCGCCCCCACTCCCCGCTTCCGTCCTCCTTCCCCGCGCCAGGGGGCGCAGCTCGGCGCAGGGCCCCACGGCGGACCTGCCAGGCAGGACCGTCCCGGGGACCCCCGCACCCCGGCACCCGCACTGTCCCTTGCCCGCCACGCGTCCGCGGACTTTGCTCCGCATCTCCTGCAGGACATCCCTCCGTGCGGGAGGGAGGCGGGACCCTCCCACCTCGGACCGTCTCCGGGGACCACCGCCCCGCCGTGGGGTGGCCGCCTCCGGGCCTGCTTCGCACCCTGGCCTGCTCCCCATCCAGGACTGCGCACCTGCGCCCTAGGGCGGAGTCCGTACCACAACCCAGACTCCAGTGCTCACAGCCGAGCTCGGACGGGCCTCTTCCCCCTCCCCATCCCCGGACACCTGGTGGAGCCCGCGCTGAGAGCATCCTCCAGCCTCCATCTGTTCCCCCAGGAGGGTGGGGGCTCAGGCTGGAGCCAGAGTGGTAGATGGGCTAGAGTAGGCCTGGAGACCGAGGGAGGCAGAGGCTTTGGGGAGAGAGGTGCGGCGTGGTGCACAGGGCGGTCAGCCTCAGGATGGAGGATGGGTTGTCCTGAGGTGGGTAGCTGGGTCCTGGTGTCTACCCCAGATTCTACCAGGCCCTGACCAATCTGGCAGGAAGGGTGTAGGTTAAGATCAGTTGTCAGATCTGCCCTTCACCTTCGAAAAAATCAAACAGAGAAGTAACTCAGGGTGTGTCTTGTAAGGCCTAGCTCTCCACCCGGACTTAGATCTCCTGCCCTCCCCCCAGCATCCAGGCTCTCATTTGCCAAAGCATCCTCCAAGAACCGGATGCTCTGAGTCCCAGCCCCAGGACCTGACCTCACCGTAGCCCCAGACCCTCAAGAGCCCAACGCCAGCCCCGCCGGCCTTCTCCCCTCCCCCACCCTGCCGGTCTCTTCCTGATTACTCTGTTCTGTTGTGTCTCCCGCTCGTGTTGGTTCCTGGCACCATGTCTGGGTTCGCCCTCTCCTCCATTCCCTGGCTGTACTCTGACATCATAGTCCAGCCCCTTCCTCTCGCTTCCTCATCTTTCTTAGATATCACGACCCAGTTCTGTACCTGGTTTCCTACCTCATCCTCCTCATCCTGGATAGTGTGGAGGCTTCTGCCATGACCTTGTTCTCTCCCTTCCCAGCACAGACTCCGCCTCCCCCCGGCCTCTCAGGCCGGGGGTGACCTTCCCCCCTGGAGCCCTCACCATGAATACCAAGGACACCACCGAGGTTGCTGGTGAGTTCACAATCCAGGTTCCCAGTTTGGGCACAGCCTTTTTTTCTCCCCAAGTGGTGGTGACCTTCTAATTCTTGGATCCCTGCTCTCCTTGACATCATTTCATCCCACCCTCCCACCCCACCCCGCCCCACCCCGCCCTGCCCGCCCTGCCCCATGCTCTGGATTTGGCCCTTTTCCCCTGGATTATCACAGGGATATCAGGAGCAGCGCCCTAAGTCCTCCCTTCTCATCCCCTCTAGAGAACAGCCACCACCTGAAGATCTTTCTGCCCAAGAAGCTGCTGGAGTGTCTTCCTCGCTGTGCGCTGCTGCCTCCAGAGCGGCTCCGGTGGAATACAAATGAGGTTTTCTAGGGAGCCTGGGGGATTAGGGCGTAGCAGGGCCTGGTGGGCTGGAGGAGTGTGAATGGGGGTCTTGCTGTGCCTGTCCACGTTCTCTAGGCTCTTTGAGGATCATAGGAGAGGTATAAAGCCCTGCATCTTGTAGTAGCTCGCTTCTCCTTGGCATATCCACCTGTGTAAAGATACTATCTACCACTTACAAAGTATTTCCTACAAACCAAGCACTGTGCTCAGTACTTGTCCTGCATTATCTCGTTCAGTCCTCCAAGGACGCTGTAGAGCAGACACTGTTGTTATCCCCGAGGTATAGATGGGAAAGACCAAGAGGCCAGCCTGAGACTTTGGAAAGGGGACACCCACCTGAGTGCCTCTTCTCCTGCAGGAGATTGCATCCTACTTGATCACCTTCGAGAAGCATGATGAGTGGCTATCCTGTGCACCCAAGACAAGGTGAGAAATTTTGTGAAGGTGGGGAGTGGCAGGGATCCTGGGTTCTGTACACAGAACTTGAGGCCAATCCTTCCCTTCTCAGGCCTCAGAATGGCTCTATTATCCTCTACAACCGCAAGAAGGTGAAATACCGGAAGGATGGTTACCTCTGGAAGAAGCGGAAGGACGGGAAGACCACCCGAGAGGACCACATGAAGCTGAAGGTCCAGGGCATGGAGGTAAGCGAGGCCTCCAGCTCACCTGCCCTGGTCCTCCTTCTCCCCCCTAGCTGGGTTCCAGCCCTGCCAGGGCTTGGTGACATTCTCTGTCTACCACCCTCCCAGTCACTCTTCCCTTCTCACTCACTTTGGATCCGCTAGGTGGTTGCTTAGCCTACTCTCTGCTTCCCATTTCCCTCCGTGACCCAATTCTTCAGGACTTAGGCCACACCTCCCTCTGGAGGACACAGATGCCCAATCCCCTTACTTCTCTTTCATTTCCCGCAGGGGTCCGAGTACTGACCCTCTAAGCACAGGTTTCTCTTCCCTCAAATCATTGCTCCTCATCTTGGATGCGTTGTTGCCATGCCCTCTGATTTTTTGATGGTCCCACATGGCAAATCTGGTCCTTTTTGTAAGGCCCTGGCCCCACTGTTCCCTCCTCTCCGTCCCGGGGTGACTTGGGGTGCTGGGATTTGAAAGGTGTGGGGAATAGGTGGGGGTGGGTGAGGGTGAAAGAGGAACTGGTGGAAAGATTGGGATTCCTGCAAAGGGACTGAACAGAGGAAGAGTTGGGGAGCAGACTAGCCCTCCCCCCACCCCAGCCTGTCTCCTGGCAGTGTCTCTATGGCTGCTACGTTCACTCTTCCATCGTCCCCACATTCCATCGGCGCTGCTACTGGCTGCTCCAGGTGAGGATGGAAGAGCTCAGGGAGACAGAGTCTACCTGGCTCTTTGAGGGAGGTGGGGGCCTGCAAGAATGAAGTGGAAGGATGACTAGGTTCTGAGTGGGAAAAGGAGACTGGGAAGAAGAGAAAGGGGTTTGGGGATGGAGAGAGCCAGAACTTGGGGGGTGAGGTTGGGGGTGCCTGGGAAGAAAGTGAGGACTAGGAGGCTGAACCCCTGGGCGGCAGGACCCCCCCCATAGCACTCTGCATGTACCCTTGTGCTCTCAGAACCCTGACATCGTCCTTGTGCACTACCTGAACGTCCCAGCCCTGGAGGATTGTGGAAAGGGCTGCAGCCCCATCTTTTGTTCCATCAGCAGCGACCGTCGAGAGTGGCTCAAGTGGTCCCGGGAGGAGCTGTTGGGACAGCTGAAGCCCATGTGTAAGGCAGCAGGGCTAGGATAGCTCTCAATTGGGAAAGTGGACATAGGGAGCTCCCAAAGGGGCCAGGGTTCTATACTCAGGAGTCTGTGGGGTGACCATTTCCCCCCAAGCCAGGAGGGGTCTTTCCTGGGTGGGTGGGTGGGTACCAGGGTCCCTGGTGTGATCTAAGGTGTTGGGATATGGAGGGCAGCTGTGAGCTACGGGTCGGAGCCATCTTGAGGCTGCTGGCCTCTGTTCACCTGGCCAGAAGTCTTAGAGCATCTCAGGTGCTTGGAAGAGCCATCAAGGTTCCCTGGTGACTATTTTGTGGGGGTCCCATAGCACTTCCCCCCAACTGTTCTCTAGTTCATGGCATCAAGTGGAGCTGTGGGAACGGGACAGAGGAGTTCTCCGTAGAGCAGCTGGTGCAGCAGATCCTGGACACCCACCCGACCAAGCCTGCACCCCGAACTCACGCCTGTCTCTGCAGTGGAGGCCTTGGTTAGTGACCCCTGACCTTGGAACCCTCCTCCCTCCTAGTGTGCTGCCCTTACTCACACCAGGGGGATAGCTGGGATTTGCATGCTTATTTGCATGTCTTTTGCATGTTCCAGAAAGATGGGCCAGATGAGCAGAGGCCTTCCCATCTGCACACTGCCCAGTTCCTTTTACTTGATTCCTGGCAGCCCAGGCTCTCTATTTGCTTTCTTCATAAAGCAGCTCCTGGTCACCCCAGCACTA